TGATTTTTATCTTATTTGCATGAATTATAAATAATGTTGTGTATTTTGAACCTTAGGATAGATGAATTTTATTTTTCATATCATATGTGTTGTGTTTTGTAGATTGGGTAGTGTAGGGTTGCTCCCTTCACACACTTCACTTACACAATTTCACACACGTTTATGAGTGAGGTCCTATGCCCGGACTTGAGTATAACTTATGATAAGTAAAAGGTTGAATAGTGGTAACCTTCTTGATGTACATCTTGTTTGGTTATTATGAAGGCCTCACCTAGAGTTTGATCCTTTCAACGGTATTATCACCTCTAATAGTTTACCTATTATTGTGACTAATATCCTAAGAAGGGTTATTGGCTCTAGGAACCTGTTTTAGAACTATAGTCCCACCCTTTTGAGAGGAACACATCTTAGTAGTCCATAGAATTTTCAACTTAGGGGTACCCTTATTAAGTATCACACGAGCAAATTCTACCTCTACGTTTGAATGATGCAAAAAAAAAAGAAAATTTTTATTCCATTTCATAATACACATCATACATTTATCTTTTAACTTTTATCATATCTCACGCCCCTTCAATATAACACTCATCAAAAAAAAATTATTCACGCATGCATGTATCCATCTACATTTCATAATTTATTCATGATATGCATTTTACATCTTTGCATAAAAAATAGTATTCTATAAAACCATTCATACAACTTTAAAAGATTGCAATTGTCATCATCATTAACATTTTTGTTTCTTAAAGAAAATGAATAAAGTTCTCTTTTGCATAATTCAAAGTACGATCATTATTCCATTTAAGCATTTAGTCTAAAATGTATCTCATAACATTCAATATTTTCATAATCTCTCATGACATTCACGCATAAGCATTATTTAGATTAAGTAATTATGTTAGGTATATTTATTAGGCATATCCATCGCCTTTTCTTGTCATTCTCCATAATTGCATTCATTCTCACTTTATCATCGCGAGTCAAATGCATTTGTTTCTCTAAAGAAAAAACAAAAAAAAAACAAAAAAATAATTTTTTTTCTTCATTTCAAACTCTTCATTCCAACATTTTTCTTTTATACATGCATTTCATAGTAAAATAAAGGTCTAATTGATTGCTCATTCATGTCGTTTTAAAAAAAAAATAACTATCTAATTTGATTATTTTCTTTTAAAGAGAATGCCAATCAACAAATTTATGCAATGTCTCAAAAGAAAAAGAAAAAAACAGGAAACAAAGAAAAATGGGGAATAACATGAAATTATTGTTCTCACTTACATTTAGATCTCAACCGAGAAGATGAGCTCTTTGACAATTTAACTTGTCAATTGACAGGGTTTTAAAACCATTGTTAACCTTTTGAAGTATTTATTTCATTAACCTACATAACAAGTTGTGTTGTTATCTTCATAAATTGTCTTTGTCTCATTACATCTCATAGTTTCCTCATTATTCTTCCATTAAGTTTTGTCTTAGGATTAACCTTTATGTTGGATCGAGCGCAACCCGCAACACTTTAAAAAATAAGCAGTCAAGATTTGAAATGATGTATGACCATGTTTCTCTATCTCCAAAATATATATCACTTGCCACCCAAATTTGAGCCTAAAAGTGAAAATTTTCTTCAATTACCTAAAAAATTACCTCAAACAAGGCTCACCCTCAAAACAGGGGGAACACAATGTTCCCATTTAATTCAGTTTGTTCATGATACCATCAAAACAATGAAAATGAAAAAGAAGAGAAATGAACCAAAAGCATCAAAAGGCCATTATTTTATCCTTGTTGTTATTGATTAAGGTAGCCTTCTATACCAGTGTGACAAGCAATGTGGTGGTCAAGTTTGTCAAAAGAGATTTAATTTGTTATTATGATGGTCTATCAATTCATATCATTATCGTTAATAAGACCAATCTGAGTAACAAGATGATGAAAGAGTTGTATGAAGAGTTCAAAATTCAACATCACAATCCTTCGCCATATTGTCCTAAGATGAATGGGGCAGTAGACGCGGCAAACAAGAATATTAAAAAGATTATTCAAAAGATGGTGGTCACCTATAAGGATTGACACAAAATGCTTTTTTCGCTCTACATGGGTATCACATTTTTGTCCGCACCTCTATTGGGGCAATTCCGTATTCTCTGGTTTATGGTATGGAAGCATTCATTCCCATTGAGGTTGAGATATCTTCTCTAAGAGTATTGGCCGAAACCAAACTTGAGGAAGCATACTGGGTTCAGGCTCGCTATGATCAATTGAACCTAATTGAAGAGAAGAGATTGAATGCCTTGTGTCATGGTCAATTATAAAAAAAAAAAGAATCAAGAGAGCTTTTGCCAAAAAGGTCCGCCCGCACGAGTTTCAAGAAAGAGATTTGGTATTGAAGAAGATTTACCACTTCAAAAAGATCACAGAGGGAAGTGGACAGGAAGATCTATTGAACCCATTAAACTCTGATGCAGTCAAGAAATTCTATGCAAAATAATAAGAAAAATAAAAAGCTCGCTAGGCTGAAAACCTGAAAAGGCAGTTTAGGCAAAATTTAGAGCGACCTGGTAGGCTGAAAACTCGAAAAGAGCAGCCTAGGCAAAATTTAAGGTCTAAAAAGAAAAATGAAAGCAAATAAAAGAAAGAAGAGCTTGCTAGGCTGAAAACCTCAAAAAGGCGGCCTAGGCAAAAGTTAGAGAAACCTGTTAAGCTGCAAACTCCAAAAGAAAAACCTAGGCAAAAGTCGGGGCGAAAAAAAGAGAGGGGCGAGGAAAAGAAATCGAATAAAGCATTGAAGCCAACACTAGCAAAAATCCTTGTTTCGAATAACCTCCAAACACACATTTGGGCCTTTGTATCCTTTCTTTCATATCCATCTCACCGACCAGTGTTACAACCCGATAAAGTCCATACAGATCAAAAATTGGTTGCTTCTTTTTTAAGTTTAGTCTTAAGACAAAACAATTGAACTCATCTATCATTGTTAACACGATTGCTCCAAAAAAAAGATACAAATGCTCGTAAGACTTGCACATCCATTACATCATGGAGAGAAACAAACATCCAACGCAAAATCTTCTATTCATCAATGTTCATTGATTACTATGCTCAATAATTAAGAGAATCATTCAAAAGGATAGATTGGGAACAAATCACAAGTGATGCCTTCCTTTGATTCCCCCTTACCCAATTAAATGAGACATTTGTTTTATGTCTTATTCCTCCATCAATTCATACATCAATGTTATTTTCTTGAGTCAGAAAACAAAGCAATCACACTCATCATTGTCTCCTACTCTACCCATGCCTTTCAAGACTAAACTGGGCCGGACAACCACTTCACACTGGGGCAAAGGATCTCATTGCCATTTCATCACCTTAACTTTCAATTGAAATAATTGTCTAATCCAACTTTGTTCCCTATTTCTTCATAGACTGGGGCAACTCAAAGTACTCCTTTTATACCGGGACAAGTTCTCAACTATCATCACATTTTCATTCCAACCATATAATCCATGTGTCTCAAGGTTAATCAAGTCAATGCATGTATCACCCATATTCTGTCATTCTAAATACAGGTTATCCTTCCCATATGTGTCACTGTTTGATTCTATCCGCTTGAGTCTAAACTGATGTAAATCATTTGCCTCACTTGTTCAAAGTCCAAGTTAGTCTAAATTCTTCCATGTTTCACTCCATCAATTTGACATCAAACTGGGGCAATTGCTCAATCTCTTGTTCCCATCAGTTTCTCAATCTTTGTCATATCTTGGTGTAGTTTGCTCTATTTTCTCTACATCAAAATAAAGTCACGTTCAAATATCCTTTTTGAATAGTCTTCCAAAAAAATCATTTGTCATTGTTATGCATGTTGGTTAAATGATGTTTCAAAGGGAATGACAAGATGGTAATAATCGCTCAATTGATAAGTTAGGCCAAATGAGTCTCACTTGATTCTAGGTGGGGTGAGCTTGAAAGGATAAATTGTGAGATCATTTTTCAACGATTTCATGGATTTGAACAAGGATAAAAAAGTGAATAATTGAGGCATAAAAAGGGCTTTGCATGGATTTGCTTTCTCTAAAGAAAACAATCATTTTATGATTTTCTTTGAAAAGAAAAAAGAAATAAAATGAAACTTGTCAATAATACCTCATAAGCATCCCAACACCGAATCAAGCATTACATCATTTGTATTAAAATGTTTGAAGTGTTTGTTCATGTCCAATGCTCACTTGGCATCCACTTTATTTGCATCAAAGTTTGGTACTTTCTTAATACATGCATTCAAATTCATCACTTGCATATAAAGTCTCGCACTTATCTGACATGTATATCATCTACGTTTGAGTTTGGCACATGTTTGACATTCATTACATCATAGTTTGGTACATCCATTCAAATCCAATACTTGCCCAACACTCACATTATTCACATTAATGTCTAATACTTTGTTCAACACATTCATTGAAGCCCAATGCATACTTGTCATTTGCATCATCAAAAGTTTGGTCCATCTCTGACTTATGCATTCAAGTTCAATACATGCTTAGCATCCACAACATTTGTACCAAAGCTCAATACTTACCATGCACATGTTATCAAGTAATGTACTTGCTTAACACATTCATTGAAGTTTAATATCTACTTTGCATCAACATTGTTTCTATCAAAATTCTCACTTTGTCTTCATTAAAATCCTATACTTGATTGGCATTCACATACAAAAAAATTAAAGACTAAATTAGGATTATGCATATTTAATAAATGAAAATTGATGGAAGCAAGAGGCAGCAATCTCCACAAGGTGGAAATCCTTGGATAGGATATGATAGTTGCTTTAAGACACCAATTAAGACTTTCAGGCTTTGAGATTGGAGAGCACGCAGTGTGGACTGTGCTTTAGGTACCTTTATTTACCTCAATATTCAAAATTCTAACCGGGTTGGATCCAAATTCAACTTTAACAGTACTAAGATGCCAAAGATACCGTGGTTTTACGCTTGTTTGTCGCGGCTGATATTCCATATTCCCACTTTTGTTCTGCCTTTTTATTCTTTTGGGACCTTGTGCGGGGGACACACAAGCACACAGTTTACTTCATGTAAGATACGATGCAACATGCTACCAAGAAAAGAAAATACTACTCCTACCACATTAATGCTTCTTCACCTCATTTTTATGCCTGTCCACTAGTATGCAAAGCTGTCCTCCCATTCTGTGAATCTTGAGCAGATGGATCAGCTCCAGCTGCAAGCAATATCTGCACCAGTTCTCTCCCCTCTATATATTTGGCATGAACAAACAAAATCAGATAATTCATCTATTTCTCAAAAGAGAATAAATAGCATAAATGATATTAAAATAACCATGTATTAACTCTCAAATTTGAAATATGAATGCAAATTTATTCTAGTATGCATAGGAACTGAATCAAATTTAAAAGATCCAATGAAGAATATAAAAGCACATTTCAAATATACATTAAAATTTAAAATAATTAACTGAATAAAATAGGAACTGAATATGCATAGGAACTGAATAAAATAAAAACAAAAATAATCATTTTTCCTTAAGATCATAAATTTTTCCACAATTGAAGATCCAATGAAGAATATAAAAGAGTTGTAAAGACAGAACATCTTTTATAAAATAAAATTAGATATTCATATTCTGACATAAGTCCAAGTGATCATAGCTAGCACTATAGTAACAAATCAGAAACACGTTAATTTCAAACATCATGCACAACCTACAATTGCAAAACTTACACCAACAATTGGATGAGCTGGCTTCACACGTAAAGCTGGCGAGGTTAGTATAATTCCTTCCACCATTACTTCAATATGAGGATGAGAAGCCGCCTACACAGAATTTGTAGAAATTAAACTTCAAAATTCATCAAAGACAAATTTAATCGCAAAAGGTATAATACATAAGATTTAAGCCCTTACTTTCAAGACCACAGCCCCACCAGTGGAGTGACCAAAGAGAAAGCATGGAATCCCAGGATTATCTGATCTAATCTTTTCCAGGAAAGCACCCTATCCATGGCATTACAATCAGTATGTAAATTACACAGCAAAAATCACTGACTGACATTTGAAATGCAATAATATAATATATCTCCCAAGGAAAACAAGCAAAGAATAGCACA